CCCGAGCGGGCCGCGCCGCGGCTCCCCCGCAGCGCTCCGCGCCGGGACCGGGACCGGGACCGGGACGTGCGGCCGCCGCCACCGCCAGGGGGCCGCCCGGCACCGACTGCACAAGAGACTCCTTTATGAAAAAGCATTTATTAAGAAAAGGAACCCTCCCTACGCGAGTGCTTCTGCCTTCCCAGCGCCTTCCCTCCCTCCCTGCACAGCTACAGCCCGGGCACCAGCAGGCCCCGCAGCGCCCATCGCTCCCACTCCAGGCCGCTTGGAGCCCAGGGGCGGCTGTCCCGGGAAGGACCCATAAGTACACGAGCCCCATAGGTACACGGGCCCCATAGGTGCTGCTCGGCAGCAGCAGCCCCACACAGCTCGCTCGCAGCAGGGCTGAGCACAGCCAAGCCGTTGAAGATGGAGCCTCAAGAAGTGCAGCAACCCATGCCAGGGCTGCTGAAGAGACCAAACCAGCCCCAGAGCGGCTGCGGCGGGTGGGAGTTGGTGCTGCTGCTTTCCCAGCAGCACTGCCATGCATCTGCCTTTCCCAGAAGGGAAGAAGGCAGCTTGTTCTGGAGCTTCTCAGCTGATTGCATCATCCAGGATTTGCCCCCCAAAATAGCAGCTGCTCCCGGGCAACAAGCGGGGAATTTCCCTGGCTGGGTTGCTGTAAGCACACTCAGCATCTCTGTTCCCACAGCACCTTCGGGTGCTGGTTCCCTAATACTCCTTCGCATGAGCTCCTCTCGCTTGGAGAGGGGGCAGGGAAGCCTGGTGAGCCGCAGAGCAGGAGGGGTGGCGAGAAAATCCTGCCACCTCCTTGGCCTTCAGCCCCACGGCATCTGAAGTGCAGGGAAGATCCACCTTCTTTTTAAAGACCCTCTCCTCCTAAGCCAGGATGTAGATCAGGATCTCGCCACCTTCTTTGTCAAAGAGGAAATCAAAACACAGTAAAGCAGTGAGTGTCAGTCATGATGGCAGGAATCAGTAACTTGGTCTTCCAGCACTTCCTATAGATTATTTTCAGCTCCCAGGGCAGAAGGCTTGTCAGGAGAGCAGGAGAATGCAGTGCCAGGCTGGGAGCTCCTCGGGCTGGGCACAGGGAAGGCTCTGCAAGCAAGGACTCTCCAGCCCTCCTCTCCCTTTCTGTGGCAGCCTGGATGCTGTGCTGGGGCTCCCGCTCACCTGCTGTGTGCTGGGAAGGGAGCAGCACCYGAGGGCACGGGCAGGCTGCGGCAGGAGAGGAAACACCTGCAGCGCCCGTGCAGCCAGGAGACCTGGGTAACTTTGTGCCTCTGCGATGCTGCGGGGGAGTGCAGCGGGTTAGATCACATGAGACCTCAGGCACCCGCAGCAAGGACAAACATTTATTAGAGTGTTAACTCTCCTCACCCCAGACTTATTCTCATAGTGTTCAGGGGTGCTGGAGGATGCTCCACCGTACAGTTCAGCTACATCCAYGTAGTCCATGGCAGGGACAGGAAATTCAGTCCTGTTGCTCTGCAGCACAGATTCTGCCAAGCAGAATCCCTGCAGGAAAACATCCCCCTCTGTAGTGCTCGAGGTGTCACCTTCCTCCACACAGAAAGGCAGCCCGAGGCCTCCAAGRGGGGCAGAGGGGAAGAGCATCTCCCAGGCTGGCTCTGTGCCCGCTGCGCTGCGGGCAGACAAGGTCCCCGTGGGCATCCGGGCAGGAGCGCAGAGGAGGGAGGCAGCCTGGGGCCGCCCGGCCGCTCACTCGGCGCACACAACCGGCTTCCCCGAGATCTTCAGGTCGTCAAAGGGCAGCAGGGCGAGGAGCTGCAAAGGCCGAGGGTGCACAGGCATGAGGATCCAGGGTCACATCTCCACCAAGCTGGGGTAGGGGCCCAGAACCTCCCAGCCAGCCCTGCATCCTCTCCCGCCTCCCCAGGGATGTTCCAAGAAACCCCATCCGGGCTTTCCCTAGAGCTCAAGGCCGGACGCAGCCACCCCACTGTCCCCCAGTGGGAAACATGCACCCCAATGGGAGAGGTTGAGATGGGCATAGCCAGAAATTCCTATAAGGACTTGGAGGGGAGCAGGAGCTCCCCTTCATCTATGCTGTAAAAGCAGCTGCCTCTTGTGCCCCCCTACAGGCTCCGAGAGCCAGAGGCCTCCTYGCGTGCAGACTCACATCATCGTTGCCGTCCGCGAGGTCCTGGGCTGTCTCGTTCTCCATGTTCCTCAGCAGCGTGTCCGCCCCGGAGTGCGAGAGGATGGCGGCGATGGCGGCGTCCTTGCGGCCCACGGCCAGGTGCAGCGGCGTGCACCCGTTGTACATCTGCGCGTCCACGTAGGCCCCGTTGCGCAGCAGGAACTGAACGGCCCGGCGGTTGTGGCACTCCACAGCCAGGTGCAGCGGYGTCTTGCCACTCGTGCCCTCCTGCAACAGGCAGGTGACAAGGACATGGGTGCCGGGGCCCATCCATGGGCCTCCCTCAACCCATCTGCCCCCCTTTAGCTTGGTGAAAAGGAGGCAGGTCCCTGCCACGACTGCAGTCATGCAGCCAAATCCCCCCTTGCCACCTGATAGCCCCTAAGAGGTTTTCCTCTCTACTCCCTCAAAATTCTTTTTTTGGGGGCATTTTCAAGTCCCATACCCATCCTGACACTGCCTGGCAGTGCCATCCCCAAGGCTGGGGGGAGCTCACAGGACTGCAGATGCAAAAGGCAGACTGGCTGAGCAGCACCCCAGCAAGGACTACGGCTTGGCCAACATTACCCGAACATCAATGTTGGCCCCACTCTGAAGCAGCAGAGACATCATCTGGAGATTCCCCTTCAAGGTGCTGATGTGCAGACAAGCTAGGCCTGGAGTGGAAAGACAGGAGAGAGCACCATGGTCACTGCAGGTCAYCTAGAGGCACGCCAAGCCCATCTCCAAGCTCACTGTTAGGCACCCAGATTACTGCAGATGCTGCAGTAACATGCACAAAACGGGCACGAAGCTTGCTATGGCAATTATTACACTGCTGTAATGTAATCATTATGATTGGATTATGAATGATCATTATGGTTGAAAAAGACCTCAAGATCATCAAGTCCAACCATAAGCTGCTCAACACCATGCCTGTTAAACCATATGCCTATGCACCTCATCTATGCATTTCCTGAACATTGCCAGGGACAGTAACTCCACCACTTCCCTGGGCAGCCTGTTCCAAGGTTTCATCACGCCTTCTGTGTAGACATTTTTCCTGAACCTCCCTGACACAACTTGAGACCATTTCACCCTGTCCTATCAGTAGTTAATCTGGAGAAGAGATCAGCCCCTGCCTCCTACAACCTCCTTTCAGGTAGTTGTAGAGAGCAATAACGTTCCCCTTGAGCCTCCTCTTCTCCAGACTGAAAAACACCAGCTCCCTCAGCCGCTCCTCATAAGGTCAGTGCTCCAGCCGTTCCACCAGCTTCACTGGTCATCTTTGGACACATTCCAGCTCTTCAATGTCTTTCTTGTAGTGAGGGTCAGGCCCAAAACTGGACACAGTATCCGATGTGTGGCATCACCAGCACTGAGAAAAGGGGACCATCAACTCCCTGGTCCTGCTGGCTACGCTGCTCCTGGTACAAGCCAGAAGGCCCCAGGCCTTCTTGGCTGCACGGGCACACTCACGTTCAACCAGCTGTCGACCAACACCCCAGGTCCTTTTCTGCCACATAGCTTCTCCAGCCACTCTGTCCCAAACCTGTAGCGCTGCATGGGGTTGTTGTGAYTGAAGTGCAGGACCCAGCACTTGGCCTTGGTGAACCTCATACAGCTGGTCTCAGCCCATCCACCCAGCCTGTCCTGATTCCCTTGCAGAGCCTCCCTACGGTCACACAGATCAACTCTTCCTCCCAGCTTAGTGTCATCTTCAAATTTGCTGAGGATGCACTCAATCCCCTCATCCAGATAGTCAATAAAGATATGAAAGAGGATAGGCCCCAACACTGACCCCTGGGGAACACTGCACGTGACCGATCACCAGCTGGATTTAACTCCAGTCACCACCACTCTCTGGGCCCAGCGATCCAGCGAATTCTTCACCCAGCAAAGAGCCCACCTGTCTAAGCCTTGAGCTGCCAGCTTCTCCAGGAGAAGGATATGGGAGATGGTGTGAAAGGCCTTACTGAAGTCTAAGCAGATCATGTCCACAGCCTTTCCCTCATCCACTAGGCAGGTCACAAAATCACAGAATGGTTGAGGTCGGAAGGGACCTCTAGAGATCATCTAGGCCAGCCCCCCTGCTCCAGCTGGGACACCTACAGCACGTGGCACAGGGCGGCATCCAGGCGGGTTTTTAAGACCTCCAGAGAAGGAGACTCCACAACCTCCCTGGGCAGCCTGTTCCACGGCTCTGTCACACTCACAGCAAAGAAGTCCTTCCTCACCTGGAGATGGAACTTCCTGTGTTTCAACTTACACTCATTGCCCTTTGTCCTATCACCGGCCACCACTGAGAAGAGCTTGGCCCCTTCCTCCCCACATTCTCCATTCATGTACTTGTACATATTAATCAGATCCCCTCTGAGCCTTCTCTTCTCCAGGGAAAACAGGCCCAACTCACTCAAGTCTCTCCTCGTAGGAGAGATGTTCTAGTCCCTTAATCACCTGGGTTGCCCTCTGCTGGACTCTCTCTAGAAGCTCCACATCCCTCTTACGCTGGGGAGCCCAGACTTGCCCCCAGTACTCCAGGTGTGGCCTCACCAGAGCTGAGTAGAGGTCACCTGGTCAGAGGAGGAGATCAGGTTGGTCAGGCAGGACCTGCCTTTCATGAAGTCACGTTGGCTGTGCCTGATCCCCAGGTTGTCACGCACACTCTGTCATGTACATACTGGATGCAACATCCAGTTTCTGACACAGGCGCAGCAGCTGCCCGCCTTGCACACACAACCCAGCTGTAGATCCTGGCACTTGCACCCACCACCACAGGTCTGGGGCTGTCCTCAGGTCTCACCTTGCCAGTTCTGGAGCTGCAGGTCCTGCTGGTACCCAGTGGGCTCATCTGTGTGGTCCGTGCCCTGCAGCAGCTGCTGGGCRCACTGTACCCGCTGCTGCTCACAGGCCAGGTGCAGCGGCGTGTTGCCGTTGCGGTCTTGCAGGCCAAGGTTGACTCCCTTGTGGATGAGTGCCTGGATCACGCTGGGCTGTTCCAGATACACAGCTAAGTGCAGTGGGGTCTAGTGAGGACAAAAATTAGGAAGTGGGGAATCTCCAGCAGGCCAGACAGGCTTGCTCAGCAATGCCAACCTACACAAACCACCAGAGCAGCGTGGGCACGATGTCGTGTAGGAGCAGTTCTCTGTCCCAGGGCTAAATGCAGCTGCTGCAGAGTGAGCACGCGAGGTTTTCTGTCCAACTGCTCCCCATACCTCAGCTCAGGGATTGTCAGTGCATATTGCCCATCCCAAAAGGCAGATCTTCCTCTCTGTCTCCCATGGACACGCTGTGGCTGCTACGTCATCTGTGCTGCCCCAGGCCTTTGGCTGTCTGACACCTGCCCAGAGGTGTGTGTGGTAAAGGGCCTGTACAGGCAACCCTTTCCCCTGTGGTGCTGGGAGCTGTCATCCCCCTTTCAGGATAATTCCCACTGCTTTCTCTCCCTCCCCAGAAAGAGGCTGCTTATCTGGGAGTTCACCAAATTCTGGAAGAAGGGGTAGGGGAAGCCTTGGGAAAGGACACATAGATTTGGCACCTATTCAGGGAGCAGCTGTAGCACCTGCCATCCTACCTCATTACAGCTGCCTACCTGGAAGAGGTCATTCTGGATCTCCAGCACTTCTCTGGGCAGCTGAGCAATGCAGCAGAGAGCCACATCAGGGACACAGTGTATAATGGCCAGATGAACCAACCTGGGGAAAAAAAAAAAACAAAAACAGTGATCAGCATCATGATCGAGGGCAGGGATCCTCCAATGCTGCAGAGGGAAATGATCTCCCCAGCTTGCCCCAGTCATCTTCCCTTCCCACCAACTCAGAGCTCTGTAACCCTGCCCTCTCCCAGGACAAGCTCAGCAGTGAGATGGAAAGACTGAAGGATGAGTTTCCCAGGCAGACCTTCAGCCCGACCAGCACAGTGGGATGCGACCTGGGTGTCCTCCTGAGCATCTAGAGGCTCTTCCCCTGCCCTCCCGACATAGGCAGGACTCAGTCCCAGCGAGAGCAGCCTCAGGCTGAGCGTCCAGCCTGCGGAGGCCCGGGATCCATTTTGCAGGGCCCGCGGGCCGGGCTCGGTGCCGCAGAGGGAACTGGAGGCTTAGGCTGAGGCAGCTGCCAGGGGAATTCCACTTCGCCACGCACCGCACTTCTGCTTTCCCCTCTGCAAGGGCAGGCGGCAGGGCTGCGCAGGAGCCTGGCCGCGCTCCAAGCTCACCTGCACAGCACGGTCCCTGTGCCAAGCTATCAACAGTCCACGGCGATTTCCTCTCCTCCACATCCTTCCGCCTTGGCACTGGCACAGCAAGGCTGGCACACGTCATGCCAGAGCAGAGGGACACCAGGAGCAGGCAGCCTCAGCATATCTGACAGAGCTGGGTGACCCTTTCCTCCAGCTGTGGCACTTGTGGGTGTTTGGTGGTCCCAGAGCCTGCGTCCTCACAGCCCAAGGCTTCATTTCCAGCCCACCTTTCACCCTCCTCTGCCCCACCACAAGGCCACGAGCGAGAGCCTGCAAGCTGCACCGGGGTGCGAGTTTCACGAGGGCCCTTGCTGCCCTTGGCACAGTCAGAACAGAAGCGAGAGGCACCGAGGCGAGCGGGCTGGGAGTTTCCAGGCGCACCGTTAACCTGCCGAGCTCCAGCCCGCCAGGAAGCCAGGCCGGCCATGGGCCCCTTCAGCAGAGCGGCACCCCCGGCCTGCTGTGCCGTGAGACGGGCCCTGCCTCCCCATGCCCGGGCTGAGCCTGTGGGCTCACCAGCTCCTGCTCTCCTAACGGACACGAGCCTCGGGCTGCCTCTTCCCTGTGCTGGGGCCCTGCGAGCGCTTTCGTCTCCGTCAGGGACCAGCTCCAAGCGAAGAACGAGCACTAAYGGAGCTCATCGCCCCTGCTGCTTGGCGGAGGCAGGTAGGCCCRAGGGGCAAAAGGTGGGAGCTCCATCAGCACTCAGCCTACGTGTGTGGGGATGCCTGCCCCTGAGGGACAGCCAGCACCCCCTGCACGCACAAGCGGCACCGCTCAGCCCTACAGAGGTGAAGCCGGGACCGCCTTCCAGCCAGCGGCAGGGGGAGGCCATGGATTCGCTGAGAGGCCCCGGGGCCAGCTCCTCCACAAGCCCTTCCTCTAGGTGCCACGCGCTCTCCAGTGTGGGCTCTTTGTCCCTTTGCCAGCTGACGAGGAAACGCAGCATGAGGAAAGGCAGGAGCAATTGCTCCTGGGGCAAGATACTGCGAGCACCCCACAGGTCGCTAACCCAGAGCCTCCGCAGAGCAGGACCAGGACACCCCGGGGGGAAGGTCCCCAAGGCTGGAGACGCGTGGAAGGGCTGCAGCCCTACCTCCTGCCCCCACGCAGCAGCCCAKGGAGCCTCGGCCAGACTTGCTTTCCGACTGCTAAACAAACATGTTCGCCTTGGCGGAGCCATCCGGTGGAGGGCTCTGCCTCAAGGGCTGTGGCCCCGGGGAAGCCCCAGGTCASGAGGAGGCAGGGAATTCCCCACTGCAAGGGGAGGCCACTCACATGTGCCTCCGCAGCACCATGGGGCGTCCCCCTGGCCACCAGTGCTCCCGAGGGGCCACAAGATGGGGCYGGGGCCTGGCTCTGGGGCCACGTGGAGAGGAGGCAGTGTCCTGCAGCAGACATGGCTCCATGACCAAGCTGCGGGGCCACAGGGCCAAGCAGCTAGAAGGAGGCCTGGCGCCAGTCTAGCAGGGGCTGCAGGGCATGGGCAGAGCCAGGGGCAGCCACCAAACTGCTGTGGTGGCACCACTCTCCCTTCACCCTTTCCCGCTTTTCCTAGTTCTGATAAATCAGGGCAGGAAGATTCCCTAGAGGGGGTTTTGATCAGACAAGGCTGTGGCACCTGTGCCAAGGTGTCCTCTGCCCATTTTCAGGGACAGCCCCTGTTCTTCCAGACACCTTGCCAAGTGCCACGTGTTGGAGGAGGCTGCAGGATGTGTCTTCCCCCCCCCCCCCCAGGTATAGGACAGATAAGACCGCTCAGGCAGGGGACTTTCCAAGGCAATTCAGGTTGAACTTTAAGCCTCTTGCTGCTTTCACTTTCCAGAGCCAAACTCGGCTCCCGGGGGACAGAGCTGCACCAAACGTGAGCGTACGCTGGGGTCGCACCCCGCTGCGGTGAGCCCCGACGCCTCCATCCACGCAGGAATGCCCCGGTCCTCCTGCAGCTCCCCACGTCGTGCCCACATTGTCACATGGTGGGGCAGTCACACGCACTGGGGTGGAAATCCCAGGCAGCCTCTGCCGGCAGCACCTCGCTCCTCCCGGCTTTGGCGGCTCCGCACTGCAACCAGGAGGCTAAGCACCAGGAGATCTGGCCTCAGCTCCCAAAGCCCAAGCCAAGGACTAGCACATTTGGACATCTGTGCTGCATTAACATATTTTTAATTAATTAATGTTAAGAACATTAAACCTTATATAACTGGTGACTTGTCCCAACCAAGCACAGCTCAGTTTTTCACCTGGAAGCTGGGACATGCCTGCTTCTAAGGACTGTTTTCCCCCTTCATTCCTCCACTTRCCCTAGATACAGCCACGTCGTGTGCTCTCATTTCTGCATTAATTTTCCTCTTTCCTTGTTGCCAGGCCCTGACTTCCTAAAATGGGTCCAAAGCCTGTGAGCTGCTTAGAGGAAGCGCAGAGCAGCCACCGGAGCGGGATGAGCACATTGGGTGTGTGTGTGTGCGCGCACATGCGGGGACAGGGACTCTGCCATGGACAGATGCATGATAGTGATGCAAAGCAGGAATTCAGACTGTCTCTCGCTAACCTGGAAACCTAATGCCCACAGACTTGGGGCAGAGATGCTAGGTGACTCCCCGCTTTATCTCAGCCAAAGCTGGAAGCGCAGCTCCCGTTTCGGCCCAGCAGCCACAGGCCACRGCCAGATCACTGCACAGTACACAGTGCTCACAGCTGAGCCACAAACCCAGGGCAGTAGTGATGCAGAGATCTCCATGTGCTGCTAGACACCTCATCCAGCCCTAGCCCCTTGCCAGGAGTCCTCTGCCTTGCCACACACCATGCTCAAACCTCAGTCCTTCCTTCAGCTGCCTGCATCTCGTCTCCTTGCACCACCTCCCTGCTCACTCTCTCCCACGCTCACATCTACAGCCATGGGGAGAAGGCAGTGGGACTTTCGGAAAGGGGAGCAGGKAGTTGTGAGACACAGGAGCTGTGGCAGGGAAAGCACAGCCAGCTCAGGAGTAGACTGCTGCATCCATCATCAGCTTCACCACTTGCCCACTAGCTCCATCCTGGAAGAAGGAGAATCTTTAGTACTGTGAATTGCAAAGGTCTGTGAATAAAGAACAGCCATGGCAGAACATGATCTACCCATCATCAGATATATCCATGATCCTGGAGAAAAGAGGTCAAAGCTGTCCATCCCTGGGGGTCAACATGGTCCCAGGTCTGAACATGTAGGTCCGAGGTGGTCCTTGGTGAGGCACAACCCATTCCTACAGTGCTGTCCAGCTCCCAGGTTTGCAAATGACCTGAAGTGCATGGGAGGAAAAGTGGTGCCTGCAACTGAGGCTGAGTTGATGCTCGACTCCGACACATAGGCAGAACTGACAAAGTTACTTCAGTTCTCCAGGTATTCTTTTTCCTCCCTCTGGAAAAGGGGCTGACTGTGGAGACTCCCAGTCCACAGGGCAAGGAACCTTGTCCCTCGGAGCTGTTTTTCCCTTTCCCAACTCAGGCTAGAAGTATCTAGGACAAAGAACCAAGTATCCAAGAGGATTTGCTCTGACAAATTTCTCTGTCTCCAGATAAGCTCTGGATAAACTATTCATGGGCCATACTAGGAAGAATTTGTTCCCGACTCCTCACTTTCTTTCAGCAGATGGGTAGGAAATCATGCAAACAGTTCTCACAAGAGAAACTTGTTAACAGGAGGAAATGGCATTAGCATCAATATAGAGAAGAGATAGCAGAGAGGAAAACAGCAGGGGAATTCCACACTAATCCTTCCCTCTCATTCCAGCCCTTTAACCTGCCCTGCTAACCACTTCCTTGGAGATATCACGAACCTTGGCCAGAAGGCTCAGGAAACACAGCACCATCCTGCCCCACAGCCCTCTGCTAGCCCAGCCCTGGCTCCCTTCCTCCCTTCATGCAAATGCAATCCTGTCCTGCCCTGCAAAAAACATTCCAGCTTTCCTCCAACAGCTCCGAGGAAGCAACTGATCCCAGCCAGCTGTTGCCTTATCCCAGTGCTCCCTGCTCCTGCTTTGGATCCCTCACAGAACCTCTGCAGGTCCCTTCTATGCTCGCCGGGGCTGCACACACCTGGGGTGTGCAGGGGGCAGGAGGATGCCATGGCTAGCAGGACGGATCGCTCCCCAGGGAATGCCGAGAACTAACTGGAGCTCCCCCACTGCTCTGGCAGCGCTGCCGCAATGTGGGGAGAGGCAGYGAGGAGGARAGGGGCGTTCAAATGCTCTTGCTCTCCAGCCTGGGCAGCACCGCTCTTTCCCAAGTTGCTGCTCCTAGGGGCAAAGAGAGGCCTGGAAATCAACGCAGAGAGGGGAGGCTCCCTCCCTGTGTCACCCTGCAGAGGGGAGGGTTTGGGTGCTGGTGGATGTGGGCAGGAGGAGGCTATGGGAGTGACTGGTAAAGGAGGCACAGAGACAGCACAGCGGGCACCCTGATTTTGAGGCACACACCAAGGTGG